TATTTTAAATTTAAGTTTTTTTACTCAAACTTCCTTCTTAAAATTAAGGTGTGTGTTATACTCCTGTGTGTGTTATAGGCCGATAAATACGGTATATCTTACTTCAGTGCAACACTCCTCCGTGCAGCACAAAAATCTAAGGAATTTGCAGTTTAAACATATCCTATAAGATTAATCTAGTAGTAAATGTAAAGGGTCATATTTGGTACAGTTCTTCAGAAAAAGCTCCCATCTCACACTCACTTGTCAGAAGAAATGCTGCAATCTATAATTGTTTCTTTGTGTGTGTTTATTACTAGAAGAGGCAGTGCTAGTGTGGAATTCACAGATGGTGAGCTTTGAGTCTGTTGTTCATTCTGTCGATTTCTTTGAACCAAGTTTTTGAAAGCAATTTGCTGTAGAAAGAAATGAAAACAGTTGAATTATACAGAAATTGACTCTGCCTTTTTAAATGTGTGTACATCATGCTAAGCCATACAATTAATTTAGTGTCAAACATCTTTATGAACCTACTAGCTCTGTTTAAAAGTGACTAATGGGTTACCTGTGGTTTGGCTATCCAAGTTTAATAGGACACATGGACATGGAATTCTTGCTTCATCTAACTGGAAAAAGCCTGGGTGTCTAGCCACTGAAACACTAAAAACAAATCATGGCTTTATTATTCATATCTTTCAGGGAGAGAAAGCCCTGCATTCACAGATTACACTAATTTGGCTAGCGTATACTCACTTGTATACAGGTAAAGGTAAAAATGGGAGTGCTTGTTTATAAGCCACCTTTATGGCTTAGGGCAGGGGTTTTCAAATTGCAAGTTATGCAAAGTTGGATTGTTGCCAGTACTTACTCCTGCTGACAGGACAGTCAGAATTTTCTAAAATTGCTGCTGTAAAGTGCACACATCAGTCCAAAGTAAGTGTGGAACAAAACATGAAAGTGGCTCTCTCAAAACCCAAATTTCAGGAATTACACAAAACAAAGCAAGTTTTTGCTTCCCAGTAAAAATATGCTTTACATTTCATTGTTTTATTCTTTATTTCCAGTGAAACAGTTTTATTTTATAAAGTTGCAAGGTACTATCATTATATGGTAATAGTCACTCACGTCTTGGTCACCCCGACTGGATTACTGAGATGTGCTGTACATGGGGCTTCCCTTGAAAACCATCCAGAAGCTTCAATTAGTCCAGAATGCGGCAGCATGCGTGTGCATGTAGTTATGGGTACATCTCGTTATGCCATGTAACACTGCTATTCTGCAAGCTGCACTGGCTCCCAATAGGCTTCTAGGTATGATTCAAGGTGCTGGTCATTACCTTTAAAGCCCTACATGGCATAGGACTGGGTGCTTGAGGGACTGCCTTCTCCCAACAACATCTGCCTACCCCACATACTCCCACAGGGTGGGGATGCTTCAGGTTCCTTCTTTTAAATCTTGTCTTCTTATGGGACCTAGGAGCGTGCCTTTTCTGTGGTTGCCCTTGCTCTCTGGAACAATCTTCCCCAATATACCATATGTCTCAACTCTTCTCACCTTTAGGAAAGCCATTAAGACCTGGCTCTTCCCCCAGGCATTAGGGGCCAGTTGAGTGGGAGTCCCCTCGTCCTTGTTTTGTTATGTGCTTGGTTGCCGTTTTATATTTGGTTTTTATATATTGTATTGTTTATTGTTATGTGGGTTTTTTTCTTTGATATATTTGTTTTTATGAGTCCACTGGTTGAGTTGGGTGGCCTTATAAATCTTATAAATAATAAATATTTGACCTAGAGATTAAAAGTTAATCATTAAATGTGATATATTTATTTCCTGCCCAACCTTAACCTCAGTGAAATTATTTGTGTGGGTTATCCACATAAATTCTTTATTTAGGGTCATGGATCTGCAAATGTTGAGAAACTTTGGTTCATGGTTATGAGTAGAGGCTATGCCTTATTTAGATCCAAAGAGGGCAAAGTTGCTTCAGATCTGGCAGGAATACCCTTGCTGTACCTTTTGTCAGATCCTTAAAGAAGCTGTGCCTTTTTTCAGGGCTCACACAGTGCCTTCTGTATTTTCCGCCTTCTCCTTCTACCACCATGCAAGTTCAGAAAAAGATACAATATCTTTAAGGAGCTGCCAAAAGGTGCAGCAAAGGTGCCCAAGTTTGTCTGAAGCATCTTTACCAATTCAGTTCTGAATTCTGTGTACCTGTAATTCATGATGAATTAGCCCAATGATAGCATTACTAAATGCTGAGGAAATAACTGGGTTAGGCAAGTTAAAGTTGCAGCAACAGTATGTTTCAAAGTAGATATAAGTTAATTTAGAAAATGCTACCTAAAGTCCTGTGATTCATTCTATTTTATGGTAATACAGCCAGAATTTGACTGTATTTACGAAGAGAATTACCAAAACAGCACCATGCTCTGTTGTAATATACTAAATCACAATAACATTTGATGTCCTTTCCATTAAATATAACAAAGACACCTGAACAACATAATACTGTTAAACACAATGGATTTAGACCTAAATGACATCTTAATTTTGGGAAATTTTACCTGCAACAAAAGTTCTTGCAGCTGAGTTCTCTTTTGCTTTATTCGTTCCAAAAGTTGTTGCTTCTCTGTCTTCAAAACAAAAATGAAATTAAATGAACAAAAGAATGGACATTATGGCAGAATAAACCATTTAGACTGGTGTGGGCTTTCCTTCAGTGGCAATTACCATAAGTATCTTCGCATGCACATATGCTTTGAAGAATGGGAAAAACTTTGAAAGTGCTTCTAGAAACTTTCAAAAGATGCAGCCATGTTACTGTCCAAGCAGTAGGTTTGGAGAGATCCTTTGCTCACTTTGAAGGCACCCTTCCAAATTGTTCACTGATGTGAACCTTCCTTAAATTAGGGTATGTATCTTGTATTACAGAATTGCTTTAGGAAGTATGAATCATAATAAATCTTGCAAAATTCAGAGACAGCAGCAAAATTGCCCTAAGGACAATTTATCTCAAATGGAATAGTAGTGGAATGTTATGTACAAGCTAGTTAAATAGAAAATACAAATGAGACAAAGGTAACCAAATAGTTGCATACACATTGACTTGATTTAGCTTAGGAAGCTGTATATAGTTCAATCAATATGTTAAAGAATATTTGTAAGTTATTGTAAATAAGACTCCTATAATGTAAAAAATATACAAATAATAATTTAAATAAGTAAAATTAATATAAATCCTCTCCTTATAACAGAAACTACTACATTCAGAAATCTACATTTTCTATTCCTTACCTCTAGGTTTTGGCATTCTTGAGCTGAGTTTGTAGGAAGCCCTATCCATTTGATCTCCTTTTTCTCCTTTGAAATAATGTTCATTGCCATCAACACATTGAGAGCATCGTAAACTCTCCGTCTAATATTCTTTTGATCATAAGCCTATTTAAGATACAGTACTGATAAATAAATCAGCAACTCATTGAAGATGTCTAAAATAGTTAAAAATCTATTTAATAAAACTATATAAACATGCTTTCATTAAAAAAAAAACTGTAAACACACTATTACTATGAGCAACAAAGGTATTCAAAGGCCAGAAATTTGGAAAAGTCACAAGCACAATTACATGAAATATCCAACATTTTTTTTCATGAAGATACATTTAAAAACCACTTTATGATTAATACAGTATGCATTCCAGTATACAATGCACAGGGAAAATGTGAATAAAGGACCACTCACTAAATAAACCAGTATTTGTAAATTTATTGGATTATAGAGTCCAATTTAGAATCTTAGAAATTTTCTTAGAATTTAGAATCTTAGAAATTTTCATAACTTATAAATGAAGAATTCAGGTTTTATTATTAAAAATTTAACAACAGCTGAATGGATTGATAGGACAATAAAAGGCATATGCTATAAACTACAGCTGCTGACAGACACTGCACACATATTTCTGTTTATTTAGCACATAACAATAGAAGAAAGTGAAAAGCAAGATGGATTGTTTAGAATAAAATAATTCTCAGATGAATATCAGAAGTAAGAGACTGCAGTCCTTCTACACACACACACACATCATCATCATCATCATCATTATGGTTACTTGCAGAGTTAGCCAGATATTTAGACTGGATTTGGCATTTTTATCCACTATCGAGTCCTTCCCAAGGACCTGGGATAGGCAAC